ACTTTATCAAACGGTATTGAACCGGGATCTCACATAGGTAGTAGACAAACAGGAAGAAAGAAAACAAACAAAAGAGAAATAGTTGAGGACTGACCAGCGAATATTGACTGATCAGTAAGAAAAATTTGTTCGACTATATCCACACCATTACGGACGCGAAGCACTCGCTGAGATCTGAAGAGCTCCACGACCAGTCCCATATCGACATGAAATATAACCAATTAGAAATAAAACATGAAAAAAAAGATCTGAAATAATAAGTGTTCAAAAAAATTATATGTTTCGATCAGCTCTTAGCTTATCTCGGTCTAGTGTCAATATATGCCTACTCAACCAAATCCCATAACTCTTTTGTGGACCATGTGGGAGGTTTTGTCCCAGAACGCTCGGTGTCAAATTTCGTCAGCTACTGTAGTGGCGACGCCGCGCCCCGTGAGAAAGGAGGCGCTTCTTGTGAGAAGACAGACGCGAGACAGCATAATGAATGCAAAAAGACGAACCCATATTCTGAGAGAGTATTTTCATAAAGAAAAGATGGAATTTCATTGAAAAAGCTTCTACAGATGTAATCTTAGTGAGAAGAACATCTATATCTTTCATATTCTATCTACATTTCTTACGTTTCAACGAGATAAATACATGGCTAAATGATAACCACAATGATAGTAAAAACAGTGACAATGGTATCGATGAAATGAGAAAGATTGCAGCAATGAATAATGTTCAAAGATCAGATCGATCAAATAATTCCATTGCCTTGGAATATGCAAAATCATTTTTGACAAATAAGCCTTATTTTGCAATCGCTTTCGCATGACCTTGTCGGGCGTACTTCCTTTTGTCCTTGTTCTGGCTCTCAATTTTCTCGCGGTCCCAATCAGCTACTGTAACGGCGGCGTCTCGTATCGTGAGAGTAAAGGCGCTCGTGACAGCTGACACGCACGAAGCACAACATCCCGCCACACCAAGTGCAAGACTGCTTTTGCAGTTACACAACGGCGATGAAGTCCTTTCTAAGAAGTCCGATGACAACGAGGACGTGGAGCCAGATACCACAGATAGTAGCTCTCAGGATAATGAGTTGAAACGATGAAGCACCCTTCGCATCAGCTAATACCGAAGCAGTAGCTGACTGGTCGAGTAGCATAGTAACGCCTAGTCTCGAATCCTTTGGCGGCCAGCTCCGAGTCTTCATTATCATTAGACTGCTCGGAAAGGACATTCATCGTCGATGTGCAACCTCAGAAGCATGTCTTATATTCCGCCAATTTCAGACATAACATTGGTTTACATTTCGTGAATGTGATCTATGACGGTGGCTTTGTTGTAGAAAACTACAACAAGAGCAAGCGGTTAGTGGACCTCACGAACCAGATGGCTGCCTACTCTTCATTCCCTAAAAGGACTAAAACATGGTACTTGTTATTTGCTACTTCTTAGCTTCATAATCTGCATGTCCCTTCTTCAGGTACGTATCGTATCCTATATCATTTCGTCTATAACACACTGCTGCTGAACGCACGTAGAATGTACTGCGCCACCAGAGAACGAATAACATTCAATGAGTTTAAGGAGGCAGTTTGTGTCAGCTGACTAGGAGACGATTCTCTTTCAACGACGACTAGCGGTGTTCTCGAAAAGTTTACCCGAGAACCGTCGCCGATGTGAGTGCTATGAAAAGATGTCGGCTTAAAAAGGCTTCTTTTAAGCGCAAAATCATGCGAAAACAACAAATACCAGATGTGCTGAATGTAAAACGCATTTCTGCTCAAAATGTTATGATCCCACACATCTCTGTAATCAGCGATGTTACGTAGTTGATGTTTGTAATCAAGAAGCAGATACTTCATAACCATTCATTGTATTTATACTGCAATGATTACATTAACACATTATTTAAAATGTACTATTGTTTTTGCTTTCTATTTTGTACTTAAACATAATATGTTGTCATAATTTGCAGAATGTTGAATAAATAGTGATGAACAAACTATATAGATTGATCGCTTGTTTTACGGTAAAACTATATGAGATATGGTGTGATTTGTTTTGCCAATGATTTGAGCATAAAAGATAAGAAAATTAGGCTCTGCGAGTTGATCAATCCCTGAAGGATGCGCCATGCATTACTCTTCAATTTCTAACTTCTTTGAGGTGACTGAATGCATATCTGGCCTTTACAATTTCTCGCGGTGGCCTCCCCTGCATCGAGTCTATGCTGTTTATCCTCCCAGACAAGTCTGAGACAAGTCTAGTACTAATTTACGGACCCCCTGAAGGACAGATGGCTTGGTGAGCCATGACCGCAAGATCGAACCATTGACCTCGTGTGCGACGCAGAGCACCTCTAACCACTGCGCCACATGCGCTCGAGCAACGTGACTACCTTCTCTAAAACGCCGCCACTTTGAGAGGGAAAAGACTCTCAAGTTCTTGAGCATATTTATAGTGAAAACACAAAGAACAGACGTGATTAGTGGAGGCTGGGCGAGGAGGCAGGGCCAGACACGCCACTGGGACCGTGGTGGGCAACCGGTTAAAGATTGGTTGTTGACAGTTGCGATATGTTACATCGAAGAATGAAGAGTGGCAAAGGTGTGGCCTTAGTGGTGTAATGGTAGGACGCGCCCGGGTATGGGTGAAACGTGGGTTCAACTTTCGCTTTGGGTCGAATTTTTACACAGCACTCAATACTCTTGGACGTATATTCTAAACATCATAGTACTGCTGAAAAGCAGTAATAGATTAGATCAAATAAGATAACAGTAGATAAACCCAATGATGTAGAGTGATCTGTAAAGCTTATGCGCGGGGCGGGACTCGAACCCGCACCTCACCCTGTCCGAGGGCGCACCCTCTAACTCGTTGCAGTACTCGCGGCTCTTTAACAAAGTTCGAGCCCCGCATGAAGCAAAAGTTCTGCACATCACTCTACATCATTGGCTGAATCCACTACACCATATCACCGCTAACAGCGGTTAGATAAGAAGAATTCTGTAAGGTAAAAGTGACATAAAAACAAACTCACTATCGCACGTGGTACTATGCTGTTGAAGATCGACATATTTAACCAGAGGCCACGATTCAGTCACTGGATTCTCACGCGACGACATTCTGAACCTTTATCACTGAGAAATGGACGATTTGAATGATAAAAATGCTAGAGTTGGTAACGTTCAAAACCGTGAATGATACGGCTCAGAGATGGTGGGACTTTACAACTCACGAATTCTTTCAAATGCTTTGCTCGAGATAGAATAGACAATGGATAAAAAAAGACATTTCACCTCGAGCAGGTTCCCACTTGAACGTGACTAACAGTAAGCAGATAAAACTCAAAAAGATGAAAAAAGGAGGAGACTGGGATAAGGGGATTGTTTGGATCAAAGGCCACGTGCACTGATAAGGCTGGCTAGGATAAACCGAAGCGTACGTCTAGCCACTAGAGGTGGCCATAGCAGACCTCATAGAAGGCTTGAAATTTGCTGAGAGCATGTACTCAGAAGAGAATATGAGAAATTGTAAAAATACTGAGTTGTAGAATCAAAATGAATTCTGTTGAATTGTAAACAAAAGTGATCAATGAGGAAGTCAAAAAACTGCTGCACGAAACGAATTTCAGAGTTGCGAGAAGCAAGTAAAGCGAAAACTCAGTGGGGATCGAACTCAGTTGGGCTAACTATAGAGGAATCGATCTTACAGATGAGCCAAAAGAAATACTCAGTTCATAAATGAGCTCTGTGACATGAGGAAAAATTGGGTGGAAGGTGCATGATGTCGCAGGATAGCTGGTCACCGTAGACGATCTTTTTCGTTCCAGGACCTCTCAAACGATCCCGACCTCAATAACTTTCACTTTACGTCGGTCACAAGTCCTATAGACTATAAGCACTCACAGGAATCTCTGAGACTTAGGGACTCTCTGGCATCGAAAATACAATCGACAATCACCCAGTAATCAATAATACGACTTGTTATGGTAGTGACCATCAAGCTCATACTGAAGAACGACGACACTTACGAATGTTCTATTATTATTAATGAAAAACTATGGCAATAATCGCGTCTTGCACACGACTGTACTTATCAATCGATTACTAGCATCCGCTCGATCCGGCTCCAATCGAATCGATCGATTACTAGCATCCGCTCGATCCGGCTCCAATCGATATTGATCGATTCGCAACCGTTCCACTTCGCTCCTTCATCCGAGTCTACTTTCGCGAAATTTCTCAAACAAGGTCGTACGAAGTTCTCCAAATCGTTGAAAATCACCAATCCTCTGAGAATTTGCTCTGCTGCTGACACACTATTTTTCTCTTCCGAATGGAAGAGGGTGTAGGCGGGGATCGAACCTAGCAAGGCTAACTATGGAGAAATCAAGCTTGCAAATCAGCTAGAAAGACGACTTAGCAGTTTATGAGATAGTTCGATGACATGAAGGAAAACTGAAAAAGAGCAGATGACGTCACCGGCAGTCGGCCACAATAACTTCGCCCCCTTGAGTACAGTAGTACCCTCCTGCAGATCTAACCCTTTTCGTGTCGGGACCTATTCGTTGAATTCATTTTATTTCATTATTATTCTACGGCTAGTCATTTATTGCCTTTTCCTCTATCATTAACATAATATTGTTCAGTTTCTCATTTACTATTTCTAAAATTTCCTTTATAATCCGCCTTTTCAATAGAATCAATAAATATTCTTCCAATGAACTTTATCCTCATAGTCTCTCTCGCTATCGAATCTCTCGTTCTGCAGTAATGGCAGCTCGTAAAGATAACGCCAGCTGACTGCTATCGTCCAACAGCTAGCTTTGGACGTTTCTCAACCCTAGAGGACCGCGTGTATCAAATATGATACACGAGGGTTTGCAGGCCTTTCTCGCTGTGCCAAAGATATCTGTGAGACATGTGATACTCATTGAAAAGCTCAAATCTTGCAATTTCAACGGGATATTTAATTTAAAAAAAAGAGACTTGAGTGGTAGGCAAAAATACGACCCCGGACGGGAGTCGAACCCGCGTTTAATTCATACCGAGAACGCGTGCTACCACTACATCACCGAGGCGCATTTGCCCATTCTTTAGCATCTCTCTGTGATAGCTCGTATTTTTGCTCACCACTCAGTTCTTTCAGGTGTGTTGGATAGATCGTAACGTTGAGGAAGAAAATCAATAGAAAGACTATATTTCACGAGTATTACGCATCACATGGCTGTCAGCTCAACCGGGTTCATAAAGCGAAATCGCATACCCGACTGAGCCTGTTAAAGGTTGGTGGCTGACAGCTGACATGGACATGTCGAAGAATGAGTGATGTCGCAAATGTGCCTCGGTGGTGTAGTGGTTTCATGCGTTCCCGGTGTGGATGAAGCGCTGGTTCGACTCCCGTGGGAGGTCGTATTTTTGGTCAGCACTCAGTCCTCTGAGGTGCATTGAAACATTGCACTGCCACAAAAATGCAATCGAAACATCAGAAGTTTTTGAAAAAACTTTTTATTACATTGTAGCAGAAAAAATAATATTATGTAACGCACTCAATTTCATTTGCTCGGCTGAAGCTTCGACATGGCTCTTCACTAAAGTTTCACAAGTCATTAGATAGCCCAAATCTCGAGAATTTTGATAATGTGTTTAGTTTTACTAAAGGTTACCATAAAATGCTGTAAGAGTGAAAAGAATGTCGCATTTTACGCCTAAAATGATACCCTTCGCTTCGACGTCTTCGGTGGTTTATTGGTAATTATGCATAAATTTTATAAGTCAAAGGCATTTTATCGTTACATAAAGATTGGAATATTGCGCAATGAATCTTCTTAAAGGTTTTCTGGCATAATAGCGACTAATTCTCTTGAAATCCGTCATTTTTCAAGATAATACCACATTCCGTGCAAGAAAAAAACAAGCTTTCAACCATTCTTATGAATTCGGATTGCCTGTCTTGTAAGAACGTAGTCTGAAAGCACATCTTCTACAACTAAACACCTCTGATAGAGGTCTGGATGGGGAGGTAATTGTGACATCGAGCCGAAATAAACTATAGCAAAACCGACCGCTCATCACTGTTGCGGGCACTTGGGCCACTTTTCCCCTATCTAGACCTAATCAAAAAGAGTGCTTTTTTATTCCTCCTGTCATTTTAGTGCATGAATCTCGATAATTCGCACCGGTATATTTTATTTTGTTACTGTTTTTGGCATTTTTGTATACCCAACGTGTAGCTTTGCCAGGCTCTAAAACGTGGGGCTGCCAAGTGTACTACACGGGATCAGACCATCGCCTCCTTCGCGCAACGTTCCGATTTTCGAGGAGAGGAGAGAAAGCCGCTAAATTCAAACAACGAAGTCCCAGAACTACCATAAACTGGGATGTATTCAAATCATTAGTCGGCTCTTGGGAAGATACCGTTGTCGACAACATCGACGAAGAATACGATCGACTCGTTGAATATCTTCACGTTGGCGCTAAAAAAGCCGAAAGTCCTAAGGTCACGAAGAGACGCTTGTCTCCGCAGACACTCGAGCTGATACGTCAACGTGGAATCGCACGAGCCGCAGGCAACCGAAACCTTACGTCCGAACTTGCGAAACGATGCAGAGAAGCGATAAAAGAAGACCTTAAAGAGAGAAGAGCAGCAGTTATGGCAGAAGCTGCAGAAGCTGGGAAGAGCATTCGCAAAGCCCAGCGAGGCTTCGCCAACTATAAGACCAAGATGATTGCACTCCGATACCCTGACGGGACACTTACAGCTTCCAGAAGGGCTATGGAGAAAATCATCCACCAGTACTACTCGGATCTCTTCGCTAGCCATGTTCTCTTACCGTCATATAAATTGAAAGAGGACGAATATGTCGTTCCACCGGTCCTTCCTTCCGAAATCCGACATGCTATATCGTCGGTGAAAAACAGAACAACACCCGGTCCAGACAGGATTAGACCAGAACACCTGAAGAACCTGCCGCCAGTTCTCATCAACACCCTGGCTCGGCTCTTCACTCGCTACCTGTCAGAATGCAAGGTCCCTATTCAATGGAAAACCAGCAAGACCGTATTGTTGTTCAAAAAGGGAGACCTTCACGACATAGGCAATTATCGCCCAATCTGCTTGCTGTCCGTTGTCTATAAACTCTTTACTCGAGTCATCCTGAACAGGATTGACAGAACACTGGACGAAGGACAGCCATGCGAACAAGCAGGGTTCAGAAAAGGATTTAGTACCATGGACCACATCCACACGATCACAAGACTCATTGAAGTTTCGCGAGAGTACAAACAACCACTCTGTCTCACTTTTATCGATCTGAAAAAAGCCTTTGATTCAGTGGAAACAGAAGCGGTTATAGAGGCTCTGGATAACCAGGGCGTCCCTACTCGGTACATAATGATCCTTCGTGAGCTTTATAAAGATTTCACGACCAGAATATCTCCATTCTACAACAATATCACCATTGACGTAAGAAGAGGGGTTCGACAAGGCGATACAATATCGCCAAAACTATTCACTGCCACCCTACAAAACGTCATGCGAACATTAGAATGGGACGAAATGGGAGTGAAAATTGACGGTCGACAATTAAACCATCTTCGCTTTGCTGACGATATCGTTCTCATAACACCAAACATCAGCCAAGCGGAACGAATGTTGACTGATTTCGATAACGCCTGTGGAAAGATCGGTCTTCAACTGAATCTAACGAAAACAATGTTCATGAGGAACGGATGGGTTTCTAATGCCCCATTCACGCTCAACGGAACGACAATTTCCGAATGCTCCAGTTACATCTATCTAGGTCGTGAAATCAACATGATGAACGACCTAGCCCCAGAGTTGAGCAGGAGGAAACGAGCGGCTTGGGGAACGTTTAAGAGCATCGAAGATGTAGTGAAGAGGACAAAGAACATCCGACTCCGTGCCCACCTTTTCGACTCGACAATTATCCCTGCCCTAACGTATGCAGCAGAAACCTGGTCGCTACGTAAGCAGGATGAAAGATCACTTGCCGTTATCGAACGCGCAGTCGAAAGGTCGATGCTAGGAGTATCTCGTATTTCGCAAATGAGACAAAGGATCCGAACTTCCGACCTACGTCAACGATCGAAAATCAGAGACGCCGTTCTACACGCCAGGATATCGAAAATAAGGTGGGCCGGACACGTGATGCGCTTCAACGACAACCGATGGACGAGAGCCGTTACCGACTGGATTCCTCGGGACGTCAAGCGCTCTAAAGGAAGACCACTGACCCGTTGGTCCGATTTCTTCACGAAAGCGATGGAAGAAAGATATGATGCTCAGCGAATTCCTAGAGCAAGGAGGACCCACTGGGCTACTCTTGCACGCGATAGGGAAAAATGGAAGAGTTGCTGGTACCCGCTCGAGTCACTCGACGATCAACGGGACGACAGGTGATACAGGTGATACTTTATTTTGCAAACGGTTTTTATATTCACTGTTATAGTGCGAAATAAAATTTTCTACGTTCCGCACTCAAGCTGCTTTCGCTGGGCACAGCTCTCATTCAGACATTCAATAACTGTTCGATAGCAGAAATCTCAACAATTCCAATCATATGCCTGCTTTTCAAAAAGCACTCTTTATTACGTGGTTACAATTAAAAAGTAGTACGTGTTGCACTTGGGGCGCCATGTCGATCGCAACATATATATTCACTTCTGAGAAAATGCTCGTTGTTTCCTAATCACTCTCAGTATGATTACTCTTGGGTTTCTTTTAAAGAACTAAAAAAGATCAAAACTTAAGAATTTTGCTATAATATCCTTTGTACAATTCAATACAATTGATTAATTACCCCCAAAATCATTGTGACTGTGCGGTGAAACAGCGTTTTTCTCTATACATGACACATAGGTCTGGACGAAAGCATGGGAACGAGTAAAGAAAATCGTGCTCTACCGAAGTAATACAAGAATTTCAAAATCCAAACCCACTTCTAAGCCAGAATGAGTGGTGGCGAAGCAGTGCCTCTCTCTAGTGTAGTGGTAGCACGCGCCACCCTGTGGGTAAAGCGCGGGCTCAACTCCCGCCCAAGGTCGAATTTTTTGCTTATTACTCGATTCTACTAGGTGTATTTACAAAACTTATGCTTCAAAGCCAATATATGTGTTCACCAGTCCAATCAGTTGACAATTGATTGCTGCTGACAGAATCGATACCTCGTAGCGGGACATCGTTCGCTGTGCTTCATCTCATATCATTCTCTCGATTCGACTTAAATGATTCATTATAGAAGTATTTTCTTAGAAAAATGTCCAATAGAAAACGTGGTTTGAAAGAAATACAAGGAAAAACTACTCGAACCAGACGATTCAAAACGGTTTGAGAAGGTAAGCTTCGTCAAATTTGAAAGTCTTTTAGAAGTTATTGTGATCTGCCGATGAATTGGTGTTGTATGACATCATCTGACCCATATGGGTGAGATTTCAGGCGGTATACCTCATCATATCCACGTTCAATGCAATTTTATTATCCATTTCGGAACCATGGGTCTAACTCTCTGCGTTTCTACAGTGGCGTCTAACCTATAGTGCTATTGTTAGGCGCAGCACATTCCAACGCAACAGACTTAGGGTTGGAGATGCAGAGGGTTGGGTCCATGGTCCCGAAAGGGTTATCTGAAATTCAGAAATTTTCCCACATATTACGTTTATAGTCTAGAGTTTGTAACATTTTTTTTCAGAAAAAGGTTTTTTCACTCATCAACATGCTAACTGACAGAATATATAGTGATTTCGAGCTCAAAATCAAGTATGGTTTTTGAGAAATTCTCAAAAAGTCCATCGAGACCATTTGAGATGCGAAATTTTTGCTTCACAAATAGCCTTTGCTCATCACTAAGTGGCAGGAAATTAGCTTGTGGCGAGGTTGTTTCGTGGTTATCTCTTGTAAAAAATCATTTATTCCAGTTATGATTTCGCTCAGATACTATTCATGGGGCGATTCTGGTGTTTCAGTGAGAGAATTACAGTTATTTCCCGAATAATATGCATTCTTGTGATTTATCCTACCAGTTAGCCACTTTATTCCGCTAGAGAATTATGTTCCTATTGTCCTTACGAAAGGCCTATGATTTCGATCCTATCTACAGAGAAACGAACGGCAATACCACCAATAAGTCGTATCCATGCGACTCAAATGGATTCCGGGAAGGAGGGATTCGAGGCGCCGATTGGTTTTCGAGTCAAGAGAATGGCCACATAGATAGTGATTTAACGCTTTCATTTTCGATTACTTTCTGATCTACTCACTAATTTGTGAAACTGAACTTTAGGTCACTACCAGGCACGAGGTCGTGGGAAACAATATCCGAGAAATGATGGATACTTTAAGTCGACGCCATTTAATGCGAAGGTTTGTGGCACGCAAGTCTTGATGCATAGAG